ATTTTTAAAACAATTGTTTAAGCAATCAAAATTATTTAGCGTTCAAATAATTGATTAATATACCACTACTATATTTACATCAGACTCCAAGGAGCATGGCATTTTCACGGTCACACTAGATCCAATCATAATAGGGTCATAGGCTCAATTTGAGTTAAATGTTCGTAGGTATTAGGTTTATGTCTGAGTACCTGTGTATGACATAGGTACCTACCATTTAAATTTATTAATGCTATTAAAAATTGAAAGGTGCTATTATGTACCCTCCATATTGAGCTTATGAATGGGACCCTAAATCAAATATGACTGCACTAATCACTAGGACCAGTGCCGCAACATCCACCCGGGCAGCCGGGGCAATGCCCCGGGGAACGGCCTCCATTCCTATTTTGTGGCCCCTATTTATAATTTTCACAATTTTTAATTTTTATATACCCAGCAATACCTACTGAATTGTGAGAATTTGTGACAACTATGTATACTGTGTAAGATAAAATTAATTTTAAAAATGTTTGTTCTATTACACTATTACAGTAATTATCAAAATATTGATGACTGAAAATTATTATAGTCCGGCATTGATTTATTATTATCGTTTGTTGGAATTTTAACGGGAATCCCGCTATTTACGTCACCACGACGGACTATCTAGCGATTTGTTTGTTTTGACTGTGACACGCCAGTACGCCACGCGCTGATAATCCTATATAACTATATAAGAACTATTCATACGACATACCGTGTATAAATACTATAAATGAATAATATGACGACTGCAAGTGTGGCTAGCATTGTAGGAACACTCGGAATAGTATTAAACAAAATCATCGCGTTCTTTCTTTGGCATTTGCGTACAGCGAGCATTGCGAGGTGCGACTGTGCGATTACCTATATAACTTATTAGTTATTAGTTATTTACTTAGTGACTAGTTTGACTTCTGTTCTTCACTATTATTGTATGTTGTACACTTGTACATTAATAATAATAATAATGGAATCTTCTCAACAACCGTTGAAAAAAATTAGATTGTCCGGTGGAGCAAGAAAAATGTTGAAACAGAAAGAAAAATCTATTAAAGGGAATAGAAGTATTTTGTCATTTATTCAATCTCCAGTTTCTGAAACTGTTATTTCAAACTCGAAATCTGTAGAATTCGAAGATAGTTCTTACCAACTTGAGTCAACGTCAACCCAAGATAATTGTATGGCTGTATTTAATAAACTATAATTAATATAGAAATTTATATCATAGGTTAGTAAGAAATACATAATTATTGATGGTCACCATGAGATAGTTAATACTATTTTTAATATTCTCAAAATATTTATATATTATTTATTTATAATTTTATTTAATATATTCAATAATTATATTGTATTTAATTATCAGTAATTTTTTTAAGAATTAAGTATTTAGACAAATATTGATTGAGTACAAATGTAACAGTTTATCTGGGTACAATTGTAACATTTTATATTAGGTTTAGGTATAGGTCTGTGCCTACCTACCTAGTTATGTTATAAAAGCTATAAAAAAGTCAACAATTATGTTTTAAACCATTATGTAAACTAAGTTATAATGTTATATTTCATTTTATTTAATGATATTATGTTATGTTTTTATTTAAATTTTAAATTAAAAAAAGTCATTTTCATGTTTGTTATATATACCTAGTTATGCTATAAGAGCTATAAAAAAAGTCAACAATTATGTTACTAAACCATAATGTCACCAAAGATATATTTCATATTATTTAAAGGTAATTATAATAGTTTTATAATAATAAAAAAGTAAAAATATAAATATGTTACATTTGTCCCTAGCTCTGTTACAATTGTCCCTCTTCGGGGTACAATTGTAACAACTTTTTTTTTTTTATTCTTCATTTATGTAAAAACTTTAAAAATTTTGGGTTTAATACTTACATATTTATAAAGGTAACAACTTGTTTTAAATATTAAAAGTAAAATAAATAAAAAATACTTAAAATTCTTGCAGATATAAGCAATTTTATGAAAAATGTTACAATTGTTCCGGGCCTCCCCTACACTTATAAAAATATGCATTTAGATACAAATCCACTATCCTCAGAATATGATAAATAAACTAATAATTTTTTAGGATTAGATTTTTCAACTGAATATCCTACTGACCGCGGACATTTTGAAGATATTATAAGCAGTGATATGAAATACAGTATAATGAGTTATGGTCCATGCAGACCTATTATTAACTTTCCTTACTCACCAGATGGTAGTGGAGTTTTAAGAAAATTTTCAGCCAGTTATTACAATATGACAACAAAATCAGGTTTACAAATTCCTCGATTATGGCTTTGTTATTCTATTTTATTAAACCGTGTGTATTGTGAGACGTGTTGGTTGTTTGCAAACAGAAACCAAAAAGGATTCAAAAACAATTGGATTGTAGGGATAAATGACTGGCATCACATGAATGACAAAATTAATGATCATGAAAAATCCCAAACACATATTTATGCCAGTAGTGTTCGACTTCATTGGTCAGAGAATAAAACTATAAATAGACATACGGAAGAACAAATTTCCAAAGAAGCAGATTTTTGGAAAAATGTACTAACCCGAATAATCAAAATAATTTTGTACTTGACTGAAGGTAATACAGCACTCAGGGGAAACGAAGGTAGTGGAAAAAATAAATCCAATAGTGAAGGTAATTTTATAAGAACTGTCAAACTGATGTCTGAATTTGATCCAATTTTATATGAATTGTTAAATAATAAGAGTCTAAAAACAAAATATTTAAGTTGGAAAATTCAAAACGAAATTATAGATTTATTAGCTGTTGAACTTCGCCGTTTATTATGTAAAGAAATAAAAGATTCAAAATTGTTTTCTATTATAATGGATTCTACTTTAGACATTAAAAAAAAAGATCAATTAAGTGTTGTATTACGTTATGTAGTGATTGATTACCATAAAAAATCTATTGAAATAAAAGAATCTTTTTTAGGTTTTTTTGAATTAAAAAAACATGGTGCTGCTGACTATGAAAATCGGTTGTTTAGTATTTTGGAATCTTATGATCTAAACGTGAAAAACTGTCGTGGACAAGGATACGATGGTGCATCTGTTATGAGTGGCAGTAATAGTGGAGTCCAAAAACGTATCATGTCAGTGGCACCAAATGCACCATTTGTTCATTGCTGCGCACATAATTTGAATTTGGTGATTTCTGATGCAGCCAAAAGCACTCAAGTAGCAAATCATTTCTTTGCCACTGTTCAAGCTATTTTTAACTTTTTTAGTTCTAGCGCTCCTCGGTGGGCCACGTTAGCTTTCAGTGAAGACTTTGCTTGCAAAATTAGAAAGAAAGTATTGAAAAAAATATGTCCAACTCGGTGGGAAGCCAGACACGAATCAGTCTCAGCTCTTAAACAACGATATATTGATGTACTTAAGTCATTGATTAACATAAGTTTAATCAGTAAGAAGTCTGACGAACGAAGTGAAGCTCAATCTTTACAAAAAAAAATGGAATCTTTTCAATTTGTGTTGATGTTGAGTGTTTGGGAAAACATATTACGACCACTTCATGGTGTTTCAAAAATGTTACAACGAGATATGAATCTACAAAATGCACGAGACAGATTAAAAGATGTTTATTATTTAATAAATGAATTGAGAAATAATTATGAAGATATAGTAAATAATGCCAAGTCATTGTGTTTGAGATGGAGCTTACCTGTTACATATACTGAACCTCGTCAGATATATGCAAAAAAAACATTTTGATGAAGTCGATGGAGATAGGCGGTTAACTATAACAACAGAAAACTTTAAAATTAAAGTATTTTATCCTATTATAGATACTGTTTTAATGCAACTTAATATTCGTTTTAAAGCAATGGACAATGTATGTACTACATTTGATTTTCTTAATCCAAATAATCTCTTATGTTTAAGAGAAGATAATATTGTAAAGGAGTCATATGATTTTATTCAAATGTATAAAGATGACATTAGTTCTAATTTTACTGGTCAGATTTTATCATTAAAAGAATTAATAAAAAATAAAAATTTAAAAACTATAAATGAAATGGCCAATTTTATACTTACCAATGATATAGCAACAAGTTACTTGGAAATCTTAGTAGCTTGTACAATATTTTTAACACTGCCAGTTACAGTAGCAATGGCTGAAAGGCCATTCTCGAAATTAAAAATTATAAAAAATTATTTAAGAAATTCTTGTAGCCAAAATCGACTTTCAAACATTGCTATACTCAATATAGAACAAAAGCGGACTTCAGAATTAAAAACAGACAAATTAATTAAAGATTTCTCTAATTTGAAAGCAAGAAAGATGAAATTTGTTTAAAATATTAACATCATATTATTTTTATAAATTGTATAACTTTATTCTATTATAATGAACTTATTTGTTCATGTGTTTTTATTTATAATAAATTAATATGATGGATATTAAAAAGTGTTGTTCTTTACTAAAAAGTATGTTTTACATGTATGAAATACTTTTTAATAAAGATTATGTTTGTTGAATTTTATCTGACTCCAATAAATGTGTTCACTATTTTAACCCTGGTGCAGTGATGCTAGATAGTGGCCCCTAAATAATCTTTTGTCCTAGGGCTCAAAAATTCTAGTTGCGGCACTGACTAGGATTCAGTGGTGGTTTTGAACACTAAGGAGGGATTTATTTTTATTTTTTTTTATTAATAAAATTTTCCTGACATCTGGTCATCTTAACTTAAATCTATCATAAATACAATTTTTTGACGTTTAGAAAATGGTTAACTTAAAAAAAGAGTGATTTAAAATTTAACTTATACGCTTTAGGCGGGTTGACGTTTTAAATTTTTTTTAATGAGTGATTTAAAATATCAAACCGCCTCCCCTAAACGTATAATTTTAGTATAACTCAAGCATTGGGTATTGGCTTCATTAACTTAACTAAAAGAAAATCACCCTTACCCTTAAAAGCAGTCACTGCTATAGTTATGTCTATGAGCGGATCCACAGTTGGAGAACTGTGGGTCAGGCTATTTCAGGCCACATATAAGGTCTGAAACAGAATTATAAGTTTATACCTTGTTATAAAAAAAACACACTATGGCAATATAATATGTGTTTTGAAGTTTTATAGTTATCATTGAAAAAATTAACATTTATTATATTTTGTGGAGTCTTACATGAGGTGCGACATAAAAATGATTTACTGTATTATACAATTAAACAAGTGACGTTATTTAGGGGAAGGGGTGGAAACTGGGGCATTAGGCCCAGTATGGTATTAACTTCAGCCAATTCACTATATTATAACTATTATAATAGTTGTCGACAACTATTATAATAGTTATAACTGTGGGTCAGCTGACCTCTTGAACCCACCCCTACATCCACCCCTAGTTACGTCCATTACACATAATACTCATGGGTGCAACTGGAGCCCAAATATTGGTGGTACTAAAATTGCTGAAAATAAAATTGAATGGTATTTTATTTTAATTACCATAGATTATATATCTGAAGAAAAAAAACAAGAGTGCTAAATTTTAACTCAAGATAGCTAAAAACTCTGTTACGCTCCCCTAATTGCGCCTATGATAAAACTTATTATTAAAGAGCGGATTTTTAGGTTCTTAAAAGCTTAAAATATGATGCTAATATACTCTAAAAAAAAACCTAAAACAATCTCTAAATATTCCTTAAACTTGTAAATATGCGATAATATGATTTTTTTTTTAAATAGTTCAATAAAAACATTAAATTACTGTTGTGGGCTATTCCTTTGGTAACAGATAAATTATTTAAATATAAAAATGTAAAACAGTTCCATACATAGGAATATAATAATAACAATCAAATTTTTTTTTCTTAGAAAAATCAAAACTCGATAATATATGAACTCAATAAGATATGCTTTTTATGAACAATAATTAAACATATTCAAAAATATGAAAAAATAGGCTAAATATTATCTAATGTCCAAAATATGCTAAAATATGCTAAATAAATGTTTTCCTACGAAATCTATGATGGATAAATCGTACACATTTTTTTATCCTCGTAAATCTGCATAAAGCCAATAAAAATATGTAAAAACCTTAAGTTTCGCTCTCTTCTTATCATGTACCAACAGAAAAAATATTAATATTGATGAGTACATTAGGTATGATATAAACATGAACAATTAAAAACTGAACAATGTTTACATGATATCAACCGAGATTACTAATTTATCTGTTTATCTACTATATTGTACAAATAATATAGATATTTATACGGATTAATAATATCTTGTTTTTTTTTTTCTCTAGAAATAATTCTACGAGCTATATTTTTCATGGTATAAATCAATCTTATGATGCTTTAGTGAACTTCAATAATCGTAACGGTGACACTCAAATAAGTCAAATTTCTAGAACTGGGATAGGATTAACAATGTTGGTTGCCACAACATCATCAACCATCACTGCAGCTTACGTTGAAAAATTTCTCCTCCGCAAAATATGTCATCCATTGCTTTATGTATGTATTTGATTTATTTTAATAATAATAATATTTTTCATTGATTTCATTACGTAACTTATTTGTAGAAGTGTAGATTGAAACGTGATTAAATTCATGTTTATTTTAAATGTAGGTTATAAGTTATTTTAAAAATCATAATATAGGTTATAGATACGAGTAATGAATATTGATCATCCAATAATATTACAATTTACTTATTAACTCAAATGTTCTCTCATCACTTGAAAACATTTCAGACATAATTAATACATTTATGAGATTATTATACCTATATATTCATTAATAAATTATATTTTATGATTTATTTTTCAAGCGATTCGTCCCGATGTCTACATTTTTAGCTGGCAGTATTGTTAATGTGCCAATAGTAAGACACAAAGAAATCATAGAAGGCGTGGGAATATATGACTGCAATAATAATAAAATTGGTTACTCAAAAGTTAGTATTTTGGATCAATAAAAGTTAACATTATAACAGATAATATGAAATTATTATTATCTGTAGTATTATTAGTATTATTATTATATATTTACTACACACTACTATCCATGCATGTTGGCTAATGTGTAATTTTTGAAATATTTAAATATAAATTTAAAAAAAAAAATAGAATAAAACACTGTTAGTATTATCTGCAGAATTTTAAGAACATAAGTGCAACTTCTTATTCAAAATTGTTACACACTTTTTTTTTATTTTGGACATCATTCGATGCCTATCACCAGTGGCGTGGATACAATTTTTTTCTGTGGGGGGAGATGTTTAAGAGTCAATTAATAATATTCTTAGTATATCTTAATACGAGGTCCTATACAATTATATTACATTTAAAATGGTATTTTTATTACGTCCCGTATTTAATGAAAATTATTTTGTTACTCAATTTTTAATATATAGTATACCTTATCATAGTAAAATGAAAATATAATTTTATTATAACATGTAAATATTAATAAATATTAATTAAATATCATTAAAAAAAAATCTGGGAGGGGTGGTAACCCCCCCTCCCGTATCTACATCACTGCTTATCACCATGACCCATATAAACGTGTATTTCTTTCAGTATATTATATAATTTGTCATTTTCACGTAGAATATTACATACGGTAAGTACTCTATTTTTTTACGAGTGCCTATAAGGTTTACTTCTACTCCGATATTAATAATTTCAAATTTATTCAATTTTAATTCAATTTCTTGCCACCTTTCAATTCATCAATTAACTATTATTTAAATATTTTCCATTTGATATGACGCTTACAGTTATTATATTTGTATTTCAAAAATTTAAAAACTTCTCTGTGGTCCGTATAAAAAGTGTTCACGGTCCACCAGTTGGTGACCCCTGCAGAATGCTAACAAAAATCTTTATTTAATTTATTGAACATTATCTTTATAAAGTTGATATTTTATGCTTATAGTCAAAATTCATGCATGGATAATGTCGACATAAGCCAAATGTTAATATATACGTATATATATAAATATATATAAATTTATTAGGGTGGTCCTTATTTTTCGAATTGAAAAATTTGATGAGTAGTACCCCAAATTTTGTTCAAAGTATTAAAAATATAATTATAATAAAGTTTGAGTGTGATAAGTCTATCCCTTCCCGTGCCTCAAAGGGGTTAAAGTTTTTGTAATTGGAGAGAATTTTCATTTTTTGAATGTACTTTCTTAAATATTGAGGTTATGCAAAAAACCTAAAGTACTATTATTGTAGCTACATATATTTACTAAATAAAAGTTTCTTATAAATATGCTGTAAGGTTGATGGTTTTGTGTAAATTAAAAAAAAAACTGAATGTTTGACAAAACTAATTATCATTTATCAGCCAAGACTTTTTTCAACAATTTTAAATGACTTATCAATGTTGAGGTTTGTAATTAACAGATGACGTTGTTTTTTCAGTACTATTATAATAACATTATAATACATGGTAATATTTTACAAAATTAAGTAGTATGGCTATCTTCTCTACCATATAACGATGCAGTGCAAACAATATATAAAGGTTTTAAATACTAATAATATTAGTGCGACTACTCCCTCATGATGTCGGGTCTTGTGTATACAACAATCTTGCTGCTACAACAATCACAAATTGAACTCAAATCTACTTTATTGACAGGGACGATTTGCCTTAATTTTTGTAAATAAATAATTCTAATTTTGTTTTTTATGATAAATTAGTATTTTTAGTGACGGTTTATCGATACACTGATATTTAACCTCCGATAATAAAATATAGACAATTAGCTGTGTATTTTTAGACAATGGAACCACAAACACGTGTTTGTGGTTCCATTATATGTACATTATATCTTTGACAATAACACTTATCGTATTTTTATCTACATGCAATAGCCATATATTTTATAATACATTTAATAAGCGATTGATAGAAACAGAACATAATATTAAATTGCCATTATCAATAAATCTGTCGATTTGTTTAGACGTTCAGTGTTCACAATTGTGTCATAAGTTTGTGCGACTTTTCTACACAAAGTGTTTTACGTTTCTTTTTTTTTAGTTTTTACGTTTGATTTAAAAATACCCCGTCAATATATTTTTCTTTTAGGTAATATGGTCAATCAAATTACTGGAAATAAATTACCTTTCAATGGAGACTGCCTTCGGGTATTATTTTATAACTTGTGCGTAATAAATTTAAATTTATTATGTATCTATTTTAAATGATAGTTCGGGCCTTGTTGCTGATGAATGCTTATTATTGTTTGGGAAAAAAGCAAGAATTCCTATTTAATATCAATATCAAAAATATTGCATAAAATAGCCGATGATGTTATATTATTTTGTAAAGATGATTTAAACCAAAATCTGCCAAGGGATGATTACAAAGAATTTTTGGAATTGGTAATAATTTTTTTTTGGGTGGAGTACCACCTAAAGGTATTCATTTTAGACGTCCAGAAACTTATCATCTAGCTAGATAGATGTGTAAGGGAATATATTGTTTGAAAATATACATATTTCAAGAACAATTGAAAATTACAAGATCAGAAATTTCTTCATTGAAAACTATATGTTGTTTTATTGTAAGATGCTATATAGAGTTTTGGTTTAGGTCTCCTAATGTCATTGAAGCCCCTTATAATGATGTACTTTTTTTAAGAAAACTTGAAGACTATAAATCCGATGATAAGCAAGTGGCTGAGATCGCTATAAAAAAATGTATTAATCATTTATGGTATCTTGGAGAAGAAACCGCTTTTTTTTCGATATTTGATGATAGGATTGGTAATCATGTAAAAAAAACAGATGGCTAAAAACTATTAGAAATTGACGATCATGAAGACGGCGAATTTAACATAGAAATTCAAAAAAAATATTTATTAAAAATTGACGACGTCTCACAATTTCTAAAACAAGATTTACCACTTGAATTATTGACGCCTAAATCAAAAAATATATTCCGAAGATTCCAATTAAACATGGAGTTCTTCTATCAAAATCCGGTAAATTGACCAAATATCTATAGTTATACAAAGGCCAAGAATATTTTACACCATTTGAGCATCATAAATGATGCAGCCGAACATGGAGTCAAATTGATGGAAGATTTTAATACAAAATTTACTTTGATTTTTTTTTAGGTAGTACAAGAATACCGTAAAAAATATCCAAGTTGTAGCAAAGATGTTAACAAAAGATGCAACAGAATAGTAAGGTTATTATCATTTTTTTTAATTAAATAATAACAGTATAAAAATGTTATTTATCTATTTTATATAAAAAATATTTATGTTTGAAAAATTGTCAACATTCAAACAGGTCAAAAAACCTTTTTAATACAGCATAATATGTTCTATAACAAAATGTGTGTATGATTTTTAGGTAATTTTAAAATTTAAGAGATTAGAGGACAAAAACTTAACACTTATAACATTTCCTAAAACACTAATTTAGACGAGTTTTTTTTAATTAACGGATAACCATCAACCTCACTATATATTTATAAGAAACTTTTATTTATTAAATATATATAGCTACAATAATAGTACTTAAAGTTTTTTGCGTGACATCGATATTTAAGAGAGTAAACGCAAAAAATGGTAATTCATCCCATTTAATAAAACTTCAACTCCTCTGAGGCACGGAAAGGGGTAGACTTATCACTCTCAAACTTTATGACAATTATATTTTTAATACATAGAACAAAATGTGGGGTACTCGTCATCAATTTAAAAAAAAAATTAACTTCTATAGCTAAGGACCACGATAATATATATATATATATATATGTAGTATTATTGTATATTTTCATTTTTTTTATTAATTTTCTTTTTCAGTTTGTTGCAGTAATCGGTATAGGAAAAACCATAATTACTAGAGTGATTTTGTTTGGTCCTGGAGTAGGTTTGTTTGAATTAATATAAATATCCAACAGTTTTCTTTGTTATAATAAGGAATGCTGGCACAGAATAAAACAGAATGGACACTGATAACAAATTACATGGGCAGCATAAGACAATAATGAAATCAGTCAGCCATTTTATTTGAGGTACAGTAGGAAGTTAGTAACATTTTATTCCATCATGAAACGGTAGTAATATTCTTTATAAGCTGCTGCGCATTTTCAAATGTTACTAATATTAGTATTATTTTTCAAGGTATTAGGTATAATAAGAGTTTGAGATTTGGGGGGCTTATATGTCTTATACTATGGTATGACCATGGGTCAACCCCCAACCTCCCATCTTAACCAAAAAAATATAAATTGTGTTTTTGTAAATGTATTACAATTGTATTTGTAAATTTAATACAACAATGATTTGCATTTTATAGTATTATATCGATATAAACGTTTTTAATATACTTAAAAATTTTATATAAATACCTGTATAATACTATTTAATCATCGATGAAGCTATTTTATACATTTTTTTTTTTTTTTTAAACACTTCCCATTCTGAAATCCTGCACATGGGCCTGTATTATGGTAGACATACTATCTAAAAAATGATCGACAAGTAAAAACTTCTTGGTACCCAGTAGGTCACCATGTTTCACACTGTTTGGTAGATTACATATTAAACAATTACCATAATTGAAATTACAATTAATAACGAATATCAGTTATCACTGATTATAATTTGATAACAAAAGTACCTCAATTAAAGTGGCCGCTGATTTCGTTGCCGCCGTGTTGTGTCCACCCACTGATGCTGGGTTTAGTAGGGTGCAAATTACGATTGATTAATTGCGTGGTAAATTTATGCTATTTCAATGATTGCTACTTGTTCATCACGCTATTTAGTCATAAACGCAGTCATTAATGAATTACGTTGCAAATTCTGTGATGTTTTTTTTTTATGATTTTCACTGTTTAAATGAGTAGTTAGAGGTTTTTTATTTATTTTAAATAACCATTTCTTATACTTTTAGATAGTAAACCATGACTCTTTAAACTTAGTTTCATACTTTTTCACTTTTCTTGGATTATCTTAATATTCTTTCATGATGATAAAATAATAAATATACAAGAATTAGATACCTAATAAACAATTGCGTACGATGTACGAAATATAATTACATGAACAACTAATTTGACAACGAATTAATTTTTTTTTGGCGCAAATGGGTAATTCCTCTGTCTTGGCTACTCGGCACACCCCATAGATCCTATGAACCAATTAGAACTTATAATGTGGTGTAGTATTTTTTTCTTTCTTTTCTCTGAAATTATCTAAATTTTATTTATTAGTCTATTCACTGATTATTATTTGAGTGTTAAATTTTTAGATTGTCTTTTATGTCACGTTTTTTTACTTCTGACGTCACTTGTAAGACATATCTATGATCTATTAATTACTTATGTCATTAACAATTTAATTTTATTTTTATTTATTTTTATTGTATTTTAATACATTATATTTAAAATGATAACGCATTAAAATTTGTGTACCCTTAAAAGTTATACTTGTGATAAGGTAATGAATTTGTTTGGTAATTAAAACAAACATACATTTTTAACAACAACAAGAAAATACGAGTTAAAATTAAAATAATGTATTATTTTTTGTTTTAGTTTTAATTCAATACTTGGAAGACGTTTTGGATAACCAAATTTGCTGGTTTAGAAAAAATAGATGGGCACATTTTCCTTTTAAATCAATTGGATATGGAGTTCTGTTAGTACACAAATATATCACAATAATGGCGGAGAATCATTTGCGCATATATTAATATATTTTTTAAATCTATGATAACTCGTCAGGGCACAAAATTGTGAACAATGAAATCCAACTTATAGATATAGTTTAGGTGTAAGGGGTCTGTATACTCTAAAGACATAACAAAACATATTTGTTTTCAATCATGGTTTCCCATACATTTTCATTCATCGGTAATGTAATAATCGCAATTACAATGGTCACCAAATAAATAAATCGTTGATGCTAATAAATTATATTTTTATATTTTTATTAAATTATTTATTTAATTATACTAATAACTTGATTGTAATTTTTTTTTTTTTAATCGACAAAGTCATAAATAATTGCTAAATGTTAAAGAAGTTACGCTAAATTAAATAGCTCAAACAATGGTTATAAATCCACTTATCGGTGACACCAGAATATGATTAGACAGAAAGTCCAAAGCCTTATTAAGGTTGAAGGAAAAAATTGTGTATGTGTACAATAATTGTTCACCATCAGTAATCGGTGAAAGACATAAGGGCCAAAATGAGATAAGAAAAAATAAAGTCGTATCGTACATAAGCGCCAAAATGAGATAAAAAAAAATCTTATCGTACAAAAGCACCAAAATTCTAGATCCGCATAGTGTGTAATAAATGTAGTACAAATATATAAAAATGGGATTAAAAAATCAACCAATTTCTTAAATTTATATTTATTTGCATGTATAATGTGTATCATAATTTATTATTGATATTCTTTTATAAAATCGCAATTTTCAAATGACTACTTACATAAATTATTAATTTTAGCGCAAATTATATGGCATTTTTGAACCTTTGGCGCTCATGTCACATGTTAGGTATAATAGATATACAATATTAGATAGGCGCTTACGTACTACACATTTTGGCGCAAATTATATGGCATTTTTGTACCTTTGGCGCTTATGTCATATAGTCTCAGTAATAACCATAGGCGTATCTAGGAGGAGGCTTGGGGGAGCTTAGTCCCCCCCCAGTGCGAATTTTAGTCCCCCTAGAATTATTTGTATTATT